CGAAGGGTCGCAGCTCAAAAACCTTTTTTTTGAGACAAACTGCCACTCCACCTCCTGATCTCCTCGTGATTCTCAGCGCTTGTTTCATCCCTCCTAAAAGCAACAGCTTGTAAAACAATTTCCATCTCCGCTGACAAAGACTTCTCTCCTTTGAACCGTGATTTTTTTTCATCAAAAACGTCAATAAGTACGAAAACAGGCCGTATACACTTTAATACAACTGAAAGACTGTACTAAGTTATTTCCCAGAGATTTGTATTTAAGTTTGTGGTAAGAAAGAAATCGATTAAAACACCACAGCATGGCAAATAAATTCAACTGTCTCCTTTATCTAATCAAAGAATCATGGCCAACTCGTGCATAATGAAACATGGTTGTGAACTTGTAGTTACAGATCTTACTGCAATGCAAGGTTGCTCTTATTTCAAAAGCCAAGGTTCCGGAAAATCACGAAGAGATCCACAATTATGGTAATCATCCAACTCCGCAGAATAATTAACCTATATACAGCCGACAAAAACAGCACAAAATAGTAACATGCGTTTATAGAATTTACGTTTGCAGAATTCGTTAAATTTAGCCGCTGAAATCTAAATCTTTCTTCGCCTGCACAAGCCAAACTCCACCATTCTCCAATCCTATGTCACTTATCGCCTCTCAGTAGCTGAATATATCTTTGCATTGTAACGTTATGATCTTTGTTCACACGGTTTTCTTCAGCTTGTATCTGATAAGTGTTCTGCCTCGGAACGAAAATACCTCAGAAAGTACTCAATATGACCGCTAGTTTTTTTGACTGAGTGAGATTATAGAAATGCAGAAATGATTTCCATAGGTTTTCTGTTGCCAGAGAATTATTTTCGTTTGCTTGTGATCAATCCAGCCGCCAATGTTCACATAAGAGGAAAATTGATTAGATTGTACGTATTCCTATTGACTAGCTTTACAATTTGTCCATGCAATGAAAAAGAAACCCAGCTGGGTTTTCACCATGGTATACCATAGACATCCAACGGAAAAAGGGTAAAAATTCTTAGCTGCGAGCGATCGGAGGCAGAGGGAATTTCCACCCTCAGAGGTCGAAAAATTTGATTTTTGTTTTATTTAACTAAACTGAATTCAAACATTCAACATAACGTTTCCATAAATAAAATTCCGAAATCTTTAAAAGCAACCGATTTATTTAGAAAAACGTATTTTCAAATGAAAGTTAATAAATTAGGAAGGTGTCATAATCTCGGACCTGGGCGAATCCCCTGGGGGAGTTTCGCGGCAACCGCTCACGTTGAGGCTCGATTTTCATTTACATGTAATTCCATATTTTGTTTACATCGCGCACTTTAAAAAATTCACTCGTGGAGCTCTTTGGTTATGGAAAAATCTTTGCTGACGGAAAAATCAAGAGCGGAAAAAAAGTGCTTGGTAAAATAAAAAAAAAAGAAAAAAAAAAAGAAAAAACAGGCCCAAAGAAGAAAGAAAGAGTACCATTCTGTAAAGAAAAGAAAAAATTTCCTTTGCAAAAGAGACTTGTACTGACGGAGCTCCACGCTGGCAACCAAAATTTTTCCATACATACTTTTAAAAACGAGGTTTCCTTTCCTTTATTGAAGCCTGGAAAAAAAGACATAAACAATGGTCTCGAATCGTAATTTTAAGAGCTGATTGCCGATTTGCTGTCTTGCTCCTCAGCACATTTTCCAGCCTCTCCATTTTTGCCGCAGGTTTTCTTTGCCTTTGCTCATTATTGTGTCGTCCTCCTCAAGGGTCCACTGAGCGATCGAGAATCTCGATCCACCGTCATTGACGCCAGGAGATGCAGTTGTCCCATTATTTGCGGTTTCAGGAGACGAGATAATCTCCTGGCGTGGGGAGATGTTGTTTGCGAACCTCTATGAGCTAAAATTTCGAATTTGACTTTGGGAGGAATACGACAAATTTGACCGAATTTATAGGGTACATAGATTTGTCCGATTTTCGTCAAATTTCACCAAAACATTCCAGGAATTATGAAAACGGATGTGTCGGGAAATCGTGATATTTGAAATATTTGTCCCATGGCGTCCATTTACGCAACACGCCTCACATATTTTTAGCTACTCCAACTTTAGATGCCGATGATCATGTCTAAAAGTACACCCCGAGTGACCACGCGTGACCACCATTCGTGGTCACTCGTGGTCACGTGTGTGTGCTTTTAGACATGGTCGATGCCGATATCTAGAAAACCAATGAATACCGAAAAAAAGAGAGAGCTTTTAATTTGCTTTTCACCAATTTGACCTTACTGGCGAAGGCATTCTTTTCTTTTCACATGTTGCATGAAAATGTTGGTGAATATGTGATCTGCTCTCACAGTGGACATGTTCAATGAGGCCTGAGCGAGGTAATCGGTTTGGCTTCTTATTGTTTCTTTAACGCATGGGAGTATTCCGTCACAGCTGAGAAGAAAACTGTTACCTACATTTATTTTCATAAACCCTTCATGGATCGATTAACTTTTCCAATGCTCGACGAAGAGTCAGTGAACTGCCTGACTTGTAACGCGTCTAGTTATCACACTAACTAAGTTTTGCTTTAATTAGGCCTTCCAAAAAGTGCAAGTTAATCTTGAATCCATTTGCCAAATTCTGACAGAGCAATTAGAAAAGTGTAGCAAGGGGCTTGTATGAAGGTTAGATTATTTCATTCTTTATAATATGCATGGCAACATTTCAGAACGCTCTTTTGCTAAGAAGACGTCGAAAAAAATTTGAAGTTGAGCGTAAAAAGATAAAAATCATTTGATTGCCAGGAGAGTCACTAAAGCGCAACAAAAAAAAATGGCGGAGAGGTTAGGAGAAGGTAACAACTTTTTACTTCAGATTTTTATGGAGAATGCCAAAAATTGAAATACAAAACAAAGCACAAACAACTAGCTAAAACTCTGGAAGCTTTGGGCATTGAAAAATAAGAATCGGAGGCCCTAGACAAACTTCGCGAGGAATTTTATGCAATAGTTCGTAAGAAAGAAGGGGAAGATAAAGAGCGTGATATATTTCTTGTAATTATTATTACTGTCGACCGATACCTGATAGACAAAGAGTACAAAAACCCGATTGTTCGTAACGGTGAGTTTAAAAGCTCGAGCCAGGTTCTTTAGGAAAAGCCCGACCGGCTGCAGCAAAGGCAAAGGCAAGCGGCCGAACCAGTGAGCCATGACACACAGACACACACACATACTCACACACAAAATAACTAAAGAGGAAAAAAGTCATATTTTGGCAAGTATATAAATAACAAGTAATCTTATGATTTTTCCGGTACAATAAATAAATAAATAAGGATAAATCAGCATTTGTAAATTTTTCAAAAACGACAAATTGCACTTGCCCTACAGGCTCGTGCAATTTGTTCCCATTTGAACAATTTATTCGCACTGTGTTAATCTAACTTGTACTCGAAATCATATGATTACCAACGCTAGCCGACCCACTTCGGGAGCGGATCAAGCAATTTGTGGTACGAGTAGAACTAACTTTGACTCCGAAAACACATATTTTTTTTGTTTTTATGCTAGAGATTAAGTATAACCTAAGTACACTTAGGGGAGAAAAAGCTTCCTCTCATCTCCATTTCATTAAGAATTTAAACTTCTTTCTATCTCTTTCTTTCGACGAACCCGACAAGGTAAATACTGTAAGACTTATTTCAGTTTTTTTGGTGCAAATAACCATTGAAAGGAACCCATTTAAGATATTCTCCGAATTTGAGCTATTTTTAAAGGTAGCCATTTTTTAATGCTGAAATGAACTGTTTGTTAAATTGCTTATTACCCTGAGATGAGAGGACCTTCTATCTTCCTCTTCAAGTTTCTTTCCTCGAGAAAGATCAAAAGGCCGTTGCTCAGATTTTACCGTTAATACACAATACCTTTGTCTCCTGCTTTCTCTTCAGGATCAACGGCTGCTTCCTTTAATTCAACCTCGCTTTTACCAATTTCATCCAGTCTTTCTTTGATGCTGACTTCATCCATCACCCACTGTTTAAGAAGTTCTTTATAGTGTTCTTCCAAATCAGGTTCCATGCATTCCTTTTTCAGATCATCAATAGCGCTTTGGTAACCAGCTCCTCCCAGTCTCAAAAATGCATCTTGGATGTCCTGCCAGTATTGACTGAATGTTGGGTCATCAACTGAGGCCTCGCTGGCATGACTATGAACTGTGTTTATGTAGCACTTGATGCGAACGATATCTGCTTCAAGGGTCGTGTCTGCTTCAGGAGGAGGTGTGTCCCAGCCGGTAGCTGGAGGAACAAGACCGCATATTTTCCTCAGCAAAACCATTAGTAAAGTGATATCGAAAGAATTTGATGAAACTGCAGATTTGAGGGCAGGATATAGCTTTCCCCATTGTGAAGGATTAAGGATCCTTTTATGTCGAAGTGATCGCAAGACCGCATGAACTGGAGGACTTGACAAAACTGCGTCTAGGTTTCCTGTTGGACGCCTCTTATCAAAAGTCTCTCTCAAGATTTGCGCACTGACGTCTACCAGAAGCCGGCATAAGCGGGCGTAATTGGTTGTCTCTTTTGTCGAAAACGAAGGCGCTGCAGCGGTGGCTATAAAGAAATACTGGATCGTTAATTGAGCAGAGGTTAACAACTTTTTAACGAAGAAATTTGGTTGCTGCTTTTCCGTCAGTCCCCCACGCTCAGCACTGGCAGAATGAATAAAATATCCAGTTTCAAAACCAATTGACTCAGACCAAAAGTTTGACGTCTGATCACATATCCAAAAATATCCGTTACATCTTAAGGCCAGCAAGGGTATTACATCAAACTAACTTTAAATACCCCCCGAACACTGATTTCTCTTTTAAAATTGCTGGCATATGCTTTTCAAATCTGCTTTTACGTGACTTAAGAAAAGCGTGACATATGCCGCCGTGATCGTGTCGATATGTATCACGTTGTGTGAAAATAAAATTGGCCTTCTCTTTCAGACATCCGAGTAAAACTTCGCCCTTCTAGCCGGTACACTTTTCATGCATCAAACTTAGGGGAATCTAGGGTAGCATTCCGGACCTTTTGGCTGATAGCTTCCTAATTCCAATCACCAGCGTGTTTTACAATGTCTGCAAATATCGAAATAACGTAAGGAGAAGATAAAGGTTGATCACATCCGGGAAAACAAGAATTTCTTCGGATTCAGAATTTCACCAAAACAATCTCTATGTTTAACCTATGGCATAAAGATATTGGTTCAATGTTCATCATCGATAAATTCTATGTCGTCACGACAACTATCCTTTTTCGTTCAGGGGAGAAATTGTTCACAAGTAACTTATTCCATAATTCTATTGCCGTGTATTATGTGGGTAGAGAATCACGAGGACTACGTGGCAGCAGATAAACAAATGAAGCACAATACAGCATGAAAGGGGAATGCAGAATACCACGAAATGCTGCGGAGTTTGTACACGAAGCTAAGAATGAGACTACTGTTAACTTGACATAAGCTAAAAATTACCACAGATTTTTTTCGCAAATGGCGAATAATGAATTGGTTAGCACTCCTGTGTGATCCAAAACTTAATGCTATTTTTAGTTTTAAGTGATCAGTCGCGTATCAGGACTTTATCAAGACTTCGATTTTAATCGTTGCACAACCACGTGACCCGATTTTAGTCGAACGATTTCGACTGTAAGATACAATACAATACATTTCATTATTACTGCTCCCCTATACATGAGTATTCTGTCGTAATATACAATGATAGCAAATATACAGTGATAAATTTCGATGGGGCAAAAAATATTTACATTTGTCGCGAAAAAGATATTTACATGAGTTCATATACAGCTTGAAAGATTTGTTTCGATCCATGTAAGAAGAGTTTCCGAGAAAGTGAGCGACTTTCCTTTTAAAATTTGAAATATTGTTTATGTTCCGCCCCACAAAAAGCGAAAGAGTGTTGACCTGTTGATAATCTACATTTAGGTAGCTTTAGCTGTGCCATGTTTCTAGTGTTGCCTGCTTTACTCTACACTTATGGACCATAGTAACGGTATTCAATAGAAGTTTTTGACGGACGCCTAGCCAGCTAAGGGATTTGCGCGCAGCAGAGACATGATCAAAGTTTTTGATACCCAGGATTATTTATAATCGAAGTTCTGAATGAGTTGAAGCTTAGAAATGTTTTTGGTGGAGGTCTTACCCCATACGGTAGAACAATAATGCAGTAGCTTCGCAAGAGAAGAAAACACACGAGACTCCAGGAACACAACAACTCCATTGGCAAGATGGCGGACTCTCAAAAGCACATGGCTGCAATGGTCAGGTGACATAAACGTCACTGCCACTACACTACATCCCCTTTTCACCTAATACAAAACTCCCTATGATGCCCAAATAATCAATGTCCAATGTCCTGAAACTACATACAGATAAACTGGGAACTACATAGATCTGCATCGGATGTTTATCAGTTCAAGCCCAAAAGGACACAAAGTCATTCATCCATGATGGAGGGCGCCTAACACGAGTTAGCCGTGAAGGAACGGGACTTGCTGAGGATTCAGGAGGTGGGGTAGGGTGCTTAATTATATAGGTTGGCGGGATCAAAGCAGTCGCTTTTGACTGTCCTCCAGTGGGTATGTCATCTCCCTCGTCTCCTCCGTGGGCTTCAGTGGCTTCAGTGGATGGGCTGACTAAATAAACTTTTCAATGTGGCTCGAATTGCACAGTTTGGTGTTTCCCTCCTGATCTTTTTTGAGGATTACATTGCCCTTCTTTTCTACCACTTTGTATGATACTGGTTCAAAGTTGGGAGACAGTTTGTTGTCACAGGTCTTGTTGAGCAGGATGTGATCTCCCTCGCCAATATCACTGTATTGTGCTGACCGCTTTCTGTCTGCATACTCTTTCTGCCGAAGTTTCCCCCGCGCGTCTCTCTCGCGAAGAGGCTGTTGCCAATGGGCCTCGGTGATTCTTTCACTTGGAATGGTTACTCTTGGAAGTTTGTCATTGAGGCGTCGACCCATCAGGAGCTCGGCTGGGGACAACCCAGACACTGTGTGATGTGTGGTTTGACACTGGAAGGAAATTTCGTAATGCCCTTTTCCAGTCTTTACCTTCCAAAGTAGCGATTCTTTTTATCTTCAGTAGAGTCTCGTTGCAGCGCTCGACTTCACCATTACTCTGCGGCCAGTAGGGGATTCCTTTCCGGTGAACTATTCCTAAGAAATCTAGAAAGCCTTCAAACTATGTGGAGGCAAATATCGGGTCATTCTCACAGCGGACACTTTAAGGTATGCCATGTGTTTGAAAAATACCCTCCATGGCTCTTGCGACGTGTGATGCATCTGTCTTCTTCAACAAGATGACTTCGGGCCAGCGTGAGTAGTTGTCTACTACTACGAGCAGGTGGTTTCCGCTGGGAATCCCCAATAGGTCGACGGCGATGTCAACCTATAGAACTTTGGGTAATGTTGTGGACCTGATGGGTTCGATCGTACTTCTAGGGCCGACTAGCTGGCAAGGATGACAGGCTTTTACTAATGTATAACCTGCTTATCCATGCTGGGCCACCATGCCTTTTCTCTGAGGCGGACCTTTGTGCTTGTCATACCTTGGTGACCCTTATGTGCGAGTGTATGTTTCCAGAGGCTTCTGGCATTATGATACGGTTACCTTTGAGGAGAAGCTGGCCAAGGACCCGCAGTTCTTCTACCAAAGCTCTGTATCTTGTGCCCGTTAAGTGACTCCAGTCTCCTGAGGTAACAGCTTGATTCATCAACTATAATGTGGGATCTTTTGCAGATGCTTGCACAACTTGTTGGGGTGTGAGTGCTGCTTATACAGCTTCACTAGCTATACTGAAGGCATATTCCGTGCTTTCATGTGCATCGTCTTGAGCTGGATCTACTGGGAGCCGGCTTAGGGCATTCGCAGAGTTTTCTTTCCCCGAAGTGTCACTAGATAACGAAATTGCTCGCGGTATAACAACCATATTTCAATACCTGCTAATGGGCGTGTACTCTTGACACCCAGAACGGTTACCAGCGGCTTGTGGTCTGTGCGGAGCTCAAACTCGATTCCATACAAGTGGCCGGGCAAAATTTTTGATAGGCCCAACGGACGGCTAGCGCCTCTCTCTCGAACTGAGAGTGCCTCTTCTCCACATTACTTAGCTTGCGGCTGGCATAGCACACTGGGCTGTATGAACCATCCTCTTGTTGTTGTTCTGGGACTTCTCCAATGCCAACAAGTAAGGCTTCTGTTACAAGACGGATCTTAGCATCTTTGACGAAAGAAACCATGACTGGGCATTTGTTAGCAACTTCTTAATATGTTCAAAAGCTTATTCTTCCTTAGTACCCCACTTCCTGGACTTGCCAATGCACGTTAGGTCCCACAAGCGGCTCGATATTGTCGAAATTCCAAGGAGGGCAGATCCCGGGAAGCTTCTCACTTTAGATTGATTTTGGGGTTTTGGTGCGTCAACAGTCGCTTCCACTCTCCTCTTGGAGATCTGCAGCCCCTCTCCCGTGAGCACTTCTCCCATGTACTCCAAGCTCAGCTAGCCCATGTACTCCAAGCTCAGCCCATGCTCTTCAAACTTGCGTATTACTTTGTCGAGGTTTTCATCATGTTTCTTGTGGTCACGGCCAAGTACTCTCACACTGTCATGCAGGTTGTAAGTGCCGGGGCAATCCTTTAGTATTTGCCATTTAGCGGTTGAATCTTTTCTGTTGCCAAGTTGACGCCAAAGAAAAGTCGCTTATATCGATACAGGCCATCCGGGGCGGTAAACGTGGTTACGTCATGCGAGTCAGGGTATAACTCTATTTGATAAAACGCCATGTTTAGGTCGAGTTTCCCGAAAACTTTTTCCTCTGAAATCTCCTGTAATGTTTCTTCCAGTGTGGGAACTGGGTGTTTCTCCCTGAGGATTGCACGATTCGCCTGTCTCATATCCAAACAAATGCGAATGTCTCCGTTGGGCTTCTCTACGGCAACAAGTGGGTTGATCCAGTTAGTGGGAACATTGACTTTTTCAATGACTTCTAGTTCCTCTAATTGTTTCAACTTTGCTGTCACTTTCTGTCTCCTGCTAAATGGTATTCGGCGAAGGGGTTGTGCCACAGCTGAGACACTGTCATCTTGGTGTAACTTCATGTGGTAAGCGTTTAGTTTGCCGGGGCCCTCAAAAACTTTGGGAATTTAACTTTAAGAGCAGCTTTGTTGTCTAGAGGCTGGGCATTGTCAATGTTTGTACTGCAGTTCATAACATCAACTCCAACCTTAAGTATTGCAAGGATCTCTGATGTTTTACGACCTAGCAGGGTTGCAGCCTGCCCTGAGACTATGTACAATTCTGCAGTGGCTGACATGTCAGGCTGTGGTACAGTGACTCTCAACATACAGCTTCCCTTAAGCCGCGACAAGTGGCAAAAAAAGGCGCGTAAAACAAACGACAAACTTCATTGGAACGTTAACATTAACTATCTTATTTTACTTCAAGCGGCAAGAAGTTAAGCCATTGGAATGTTCTTCTTCAATTTGATAAGAATCGCTTTAGGGTCGCCCTTCGTTTCTTCGGGAAAAGGAAAATCGTTCGCTCCGAACTATTCGGGTCGTCGATGCTGACGGAAACACAAACTCTGTCTGGAAAGTTATAGATGCCTTCCCAACAAAGATCCACCACTGACTACTGTCGAAGATCCTGTGGTCCAAGCGAACAGATTTAGCGATTTCTACGTTTTGGTAGTGGTGGCTGCAGCCGCTAAAGCCAAGGCCCTATGCGATCACAATGGAAGGTAAGCTAAAAATAACAGCAGAATACTGAAAACCATTAAAGTATCTGTAAAGTATTTGACGTCTTTCTTAATAAGACGACTAAATACAATTCGAACACCTCAAACAGGTCTTAAGAGGAATTTTCAGACAGTGATATGGTGATAAGCATTCTTGTGTGTTCTTCAAGCTTCTTAGCACAGATTTCTAATCTAAAGTGATCAGAGGCGTGATAAACGGAAGCGCCTCTTTAAATGGTACAAACTCTGTAAAGTCTTCTGCACTCAGTTGTTCCGCCATTTTGAGAGAAATACACTCCGCTGACTAGCTGTTGCTCACCGGCTCAGAAAAACTAATCGATAATCTCGCATAGTGATTTCTTTCTCTCACGCAACAATTTCTCATTCTCAACAATTAATATCTATTTCTCGGTATATTGCTACAAAATATTTTAAAGTGTGTTTGACATAACAGCTTGAAAGGGTCCAAAGACGCGCATTATCCATCATTTCACCAGAACTGCGATACCATGACTCTTTAGACAGGCACGGTTTAGCTTCTCTCTATGACAGACGCATGAAATTATGTACGGATCTGTTTTTGTCTATCTCAAATCCATCTCACAAATTATATAATTTGTTACCAGATAGGCATTTTTCAGCTTACAATACTAGACACCGGAACGCGATTTTTTTTAACATGCCGCGCTTTCGAAACACTGACCGTTTTAAATTCCCAACCATTTATCCTGGCTATGTGCGCGTGTGCTAACAGATTTAGCGATTTTTAGCTATTCCACTGCTGTATATTAGCTATATTAGTTATATTAGTAATTTTATTTAGGTCTTAGCAGTTTTTGTAATTCTTGTGTGTTCTTCAAGCTTCCTAGCACAGATTTCTAATCTAAAGTGATCAGCGGCGTGATAAACGGAAGCGCCTCTTAAAATGGTACAAACTCTGTAAAGTCTTCTGCACTCAGTTGTTCCGCCATTTTGAGAGAAATACACGCAATTCAGCCTATGGCTGCAATGTATTTTATTTGATAATAAACTATCGATCTATCTATCTATCTATCTATCCGCTTTGAAACATGTTTAAGAGTGTGTCCACAAGAGCACTGGGCATGCCATCCCACCGATTTCAATGAAACTTTGCCAGTTTAAAGGGTCTACCACAAAACTCAAAAAAGACAAACTGGTTTTCTGTTTTGGTGTTTTCCGGGGGGAGATAGACCACCCCTCAGTTTTCCCGGTTTTTACCAAGGAAATCGCTTCAAAGTAGGTAAAATGTATGAAGCTCTCACTGCCATGGTATTTAACCAATTACTCTGAGGGTTTGTACACATATTATTACATCCTTAGTAAATGTCTGACGCAAGTATTAGTTAATTTGATTGACAGCTTGTCAATCAACAGAGGCAATTA